GAGAAGGACTTGGGGGTACTGGTGGATGAAAAGCTGGACATGAGCCAGCAATGTGCGCTCGCAGCCCAGAAGGCCAATCGTATCCTGGGCCGCATCAAAAGAAGAGTGGCCAGCAAGTCGAGGGAGGGGATTCTGCCCCTCTACTCTGCTCTGGTGAGACCCCACCTGCAGTACTGCGTCCAGCTCTTGGAGCCCTCAGCATAAGAAACACACGGACCTGTTGGAGCGGGTCCGGAGGAGGGTCACGAAAATGATCAGGGGGATGGAACACCTCTCCTTATGAAGAAAGGCTGAGAGAGTTGGGGTGGTTCAGCCTAGAGAAGAGAAGGCTTCGGAGAGACCTTATTGCAGCCTATCAGTGCTTAAAGGGGGCTTATAAAAAAGATGGCGGCAAACTTTTTAGCAGGGCCTGTTGCAACAGGACAAGGGGGAATGGCTTTAAACTAAAGGCGGGTAGATTTAGGCTAGATATAAGGAAGAAATTTTTTTACACTGCAGGTGGTGAAGCACTGGAAGAGGTTGCCCAGAGAGGTGGTGGATGCCCCATCCCTGGAAACATTCAAGGTCAGGTTGGACAGGGCTCTGAGAAACCTGATTTAATTGAGGATGTCCCTGCCCAAGGCAGGGGGGTTGGACTAAATGACCGTTAGAGGTCCCTTCCAACCCAAACTATTCTATGATTCTCTGATTCTAAGATGGGAATCCACAGAAGTTAATTGAGTGCCTGTGGGGAAGAGAGCCAGTGTCAGAGAGTTGTGAGATCAGTTCAAGCTGCAATTTGATAATATAGCCAAGTTTGCTGCAGGAAAGTACTGTAAAAGAGCTAAGTACTGTTAACTTAGCAGCTGGTGGCATTTAACTATGCATAACATACTCTACAGGAAACCCACCAGCAAATATTTATATTAAATCATAGTAGTAACAACAATCTGTCTGACTAAAAGGAAACATGACTTTCAAACTTATGTAATACATACATTTGGAACCAGCACTCTCTGGTAAGCATATAGCAATGGTAAGTCAGCAGTTTCCAAAAATGTATTTCATTGCTTAGAGTTCTAAGTGTGGCACAGCAGTCTTACAAGCTGCAAGCTGTCGTTACTCTGCAGTGGTGGCAACTGCCTAGCAGGAACACAGTGCTTGGTACTTGGCTGCCAGAAAGTGAATCTCAGATGCAGGTATTTCAAGCAGAGGTAAACAGGTAATTGTTAAAATTAACTATATGTCATTCAGCTATGACTATTCATTATAATAAGTACAGTACTCAGATAATCTAATTCACCCTGTTCTTACTACATTCAGTGTTGAAACTCCGAAGAATGAACAGAACATGTTCATATGACTCCTATAAAATGAAATTAAGACGTACTCCCCTAAAAATGAACATACTTGCTCAGCTGTTTTCTGTTTCCCATTAATTGACCACAACAAAGCAACAGTAGGGGTCCTATTTCCCAACTTCTGAAACAATTAGCTCACAACATCTCAAGTAAGAACCATTCTTCTTTTTTTATTAGGAAGAATGCAGCTATCCTTATTTAAACTGGCTAAGATGTTCATACCATTCTTTGTAATGACTGCATCTTAAAAAGATAGGTGTTGAATGTGATTTTTAAAATATCAAGGAATAAACAAATACATGGAAAACCTTGTTCTACAAAATGCATTCAAACTGATCTTCCAATAACATCCCTTTTTGTCAATGGGATTACATCAGCAGAGACTTTTTCCTAGCTGACCTTCAAATAACATCCCTTTTTGTCAATGGAATTAAATTAGCACAGAGTTTTTCCTAACATTAAAACAGAGAGAAAGAAATGTAAAAGTAAAGGGAAGTAAGAAAAACAACATAACCAGCAGTAAACTGCCCGTTTTCACTCCTGAGTAACTGCAGTTACTATTTAGTAAGATGGTGCTATGTTGAATTATCTCCTGTTAAGTTCCTTTCACCTGACAATCTAAAAAAAGATTTTTGAAACAGAAAGCTTAGCAGTAACTTTCCTCACAATGTATCGAGGCTGAGGGGAGACCTCATCACTCTCTACAACTACCTGAAAGGAGGTTGTAGCGAGGTGGGTGTTGGTCTCTTCTCCCAAGTAACTGGCGAAAGGACAAGAGGAAATGGCCTCAAGTTGCGCCAGGGGAGGTTTAGATTGGATGTGAGGAAAAATTTCTTTACTGAAAGAGTAGTTAAACATTGGAACAGGCTGCCCAGGGAAGTGGTTGAGTCCCCATCCCTGGAAGTATTTAAAAAACGGGTAGATGAGGCGCTTAGGGACATGGTTTAGTGGGCATGGTGGTGTTGGGTTGACGGTTGGACTCGATGATCTTGGAGGTCTCTTCCAACCTTAACGATTCTATGATTCTATGATTCTATCTCGCATGAGGCTTGCGCACAGTTCCTTGAGCTAGTAATCATTTCTCAGTGTGACATGCAGAGGCTTAATGGTGTACTCCTAATGGAAATTATTAGATTTTTTCCGTATCTCTGAGTCAGTAACACACCTTTTTCCATATATTTTATAATAAATATTGTTAGTGTTTGGCAGAAATCAGGTAAGTGACTCACCTTCATCTACAGGAACCTCTTCCTCCTCGCAGGGAGAAGGAAGAAGGGGCTGCAGAGGTTCCATGTTGATTATGAGTTGTTTGTTCAATGAGGGAGAGCTGCGACTCTGAGTAATGCTGGTTCTAAAAGAACGGGGAAAACAGGGTCAGTTTATTCACAAGGAAACAAGTGCAGTCCACTACGTCTCATCTCAGAATTGTTTTGCATAAATTACAATAAGCCTTGAGCTATCATAACAAGCTGTGCACACTGAATGCTGCTCTCAGCCATGTTATGTTGCACCCTCAGCAGATATAAACCTTTCAACATCTGAAGTGTAAGGGAAGGTTCTGTGCTGGTTTACTTCCCTTTATGCAGCCTGTCTCCTTCTCATCTCATGCAGGATTTCAGTATGTTGCTCCTCTCCACGCTGCACAGCAGACATGAGTATTTGGCTTCAAGGAAAGAGAAGGTAGAGAGGATACAAATAATTTTCCTGATGTTGTTCCATTGCCTCCGGGACTGGGTAAAGGATTTGTTACGGTTTGAGCACTGCAGAATAAAGACTAAAGCAGGAACAACTGTATCCCTTCAGTTAACAGATACACAGTGCTCTCATTCTCATGCAGCCCAGACACTGCCTCAACACCATGCCTCCAGGTGCTCAGGCTGGTTTTCTTTCTTGTCTTACTTGGCTCTAACAGGCTTTCTGGTAGCAGGTGTTGAACTTTCTCAGGGAAGTTTGAGGAATGCTGTTGATTCCCTTCAGTCATGAGGCTCATTTTACTGAGAAAATAAAATGGCTCTTTAGAATAAGTTATCTGGCACTTACATGATATAGGCCTGAAGCAAGAATCCTGCAATAAATCTGAACCATTACATTATAAAATATTTACTTTTGACAAAAGCAAAGATGAAAGGGAAGAGGATGCTACTTGACTTCAAATGGTACATAGGTATAGTGCTGAAGTTTCACAAAATGCATTTCAAGTTTGCACAAAGACTCAACTTGCAGTTCCACATACATAAAGAAACTGAACAAAGCACCTATTGCAAGAGAAAAGAAGGGACTGTGTGCTGCTGAGGGTTTAGGTAAACTCGGGACACAGATGTCCTACTCCAAGTCACATTACATGTCATTAAATATTCTGTGGGGAAAACCAGCTTTCTTGCTCAATTGCCATGATTCCTTGCTCATTAACGTATGCCCAAAGCTACTTATGTCCTCATTTGCATTCTGTGAGCAGTCTCTAATAACTATTTAGTTTAAATTTTCACTATCCAAAGAAGTTTTTCACTCAGATTACTGTAATTACAACCACTCCAATGCAATGGTACCTCCACAGACTTGGTATACATCCCTGGATCTTTGTGCTTGCTGTAAAGAGCTATCAAGCAACTCCCAAAATAGGAGTTGTGCCTGGGAGCATCCATAAGGCTCCTACTCCATACTTATTCACAAAGAACCCTCCTTCAGGCACACCCTGGAAGCAAAACATTAAATCATTCACTGTGTATTTGTCAGAAGAACTTGCCACTACATTAATGCTGCATGACTACACACTCCAACAGATTTTCAGTCTGTAGTGCCTTAAGTGTAATATCCAAACACAAAGATATCGAACAGTAACCTCCTCACAACTGCATGTTTCTTTCTCAATGCAGCCATGGTACCACTGAATTGACTTTGGGGGAGGGGGTGCAGGGAGAGAAAACTTTATATATATATTAAAAATATAGAGAGATTTACCTTCAATCATATCATTTCCTCTAAATGTTTTACATCTGAAAAACTACCATTTCCTGTCCCCAAATCCACTTTCACAGAGTAACTTGTTTCTAAAGTTTGCTTTTTTTTGGAGCTGAAAATTTTCTATGCTTTTTGCCTACTTGTGCTATTAGAAGCACAAGCTACCTACCAGTGTCTCCCATTTCAAAACCTGCATTATAAAAAAACACTTGAAATCATTAGACTTTTTCTTAGCCTTTCTAAGAAACTGAACTTGGAGCTACCATAATATTGTAAATGCAAGCATTTAAGAAGGTTAATCATAAAAAATATACATTACTCTTTATGGGTGTTAAATCCATATGACATTGCTCTATAAACTTATCTGTCCTCTGATCTGTTCCTTTATGTACACTAAGACTTTTAAACAATATGTTTAAAATACTTTAAATATTGAAAGCAAATAAAAGTAAAATACAAGATAAAAAATAATTTTACATGAAAATCTTTTCTTATCCTATGGAAGAAAGAAACCGCATGGGAAGTAGGCAATAAGCTATTTCCTTATGTGAGTAACTATTTTCATTTAAAATGCATTTGTGTGCCAAAGTAATCTACCCTATCTCAATGATGGACCTATATTCTGCCTTCTGTGTTCTCAGTTAACACATTCTAGACTGTCACTTACCCCATTTTTAAATGTAATCTGCAAAAACATGTTCAAAAGCATCCCTGCATGGCCTGACTATTAATTACATAGTAGGGCTGGACAACGTATTTATAAATATTTGCCGCAAATATATTCCCAACCTTTAGTAAAAGCAATCCACTTTTCTCTCAAATACAGATGGAATGGCCATATTCAATTAAAAATAAACCAAACACACACCCCCTGCCCCTGAAAAAAATCACAATAAAAATAGGGATATGGCTGTAGAATGTCCAGAAAGTTAAGCAACCTTTTAAAAAAGTTTTTAAATAGCCTTTCCCTGCTGGCCTCTTTCTTCTTTTCTGAAGGACTTCAATTAGTTTCTTATCAATTTTCACTGTCACTACAGTGAGTGATAAGGACCAGAAAGTATTAGTTCGCTTGCAAAGTCCAGCTGCTTATTTCTAACAAGCCACATCATTTTTCTCTGAAAAAAAATGTTCTCTCATCTTTTTTCTCTTTACTGAATGAAATTCTTGCTTTTTAATCTGACTGCATTATGGAAAAACTTTCAAGTATACCTTTAAACATATACATACACATATACATACACAAAACAGAATCTTCCAAAACCGGGCAAGAGCTAGGAATGAAATGAGAATGTACTTTTCTGTCAGGACCATGTAATAACAGTCTATGTCATAACACAGAAACTAATATAAGCTACTTATCTGACTGATTGATTAAAACCAGCTTCGAAGCGGCACAGATTAAGTTCCCTTGTGTAGGAGACAATAGGCTATTGTCAGAATTTTGTAACACTGGCAACACATATTTCCCAAGGCTTGCATGGGAAACTTCCACTCATTGTGGAAGTTCAGAATGACAGCCATTACATCTCACAGTAAAGGAAAGAGAATTTCTCTGTAGAGAACAATAATCCTCCTTAGTCCTTAAACTTTAATATTGAATGTCAACACATACCTGTGAACTTCAGGAGGTTCCCTCTGGATTTTAGAGCTTGCCTCCACAACCTCTTTGGCTACTTTTCCACTGCATTAAAACATGAAATAAATATTCAAGCAAACACTAAGATGAGCTCATTACATGCCAAGCACTATACATACATGAACAATTAAGCTACATTCAAAAGAAGAAAAGGCAAAAAAAAGAAAAAAAACCTGTGTAGTGGATATGTAATGTTGCAGATAAAAAATTCTGGACTGTCCCACTAAAGCGTCCCTGGTCCAGAGTTACCCAGTTACAGGGGGCGTACAATCTCTACACTAGCCACGCATCCTTGTTTTTACAGAAACTGCACCAAAAGTGGAGCCCTGTTCTGATGAAACTGCTCTTTGACAGAAGTCTACATGAAGCCTCCAGTTTATTTTATATGTGACGCTAAAGAGACCACAGAAAATCTTTCAAATCCTGACTTGGATTATGTGGGAACAGGTCCTCAAGAAGGAAAAGCCCTCAATTTGCCATGAGTAATTACCGATGTTTTCTCTTAATTTCTGAAATGGTTTACCATGAAAAACAAACAGCAAATACCCACCTATATCGAAATCTACTGCCTTTAAAAAATATCTTGCTGCTGGACATGGTCTTGATCTGACTGGATTTTGCATACCTTGAAGAAAAAGAACACAGACTGTCACATTTTCAGCACAGAAGGAACCTGACAAGCAAAAATGAACAACGCCAACTACAATCTTTGTTATTTTTATACCACAAAGTAATATTCAGTAATTGGGCTTTCCATCTTTTTTTAAGGCCTTTATACAAATTAGAATATAAAGCATACATAAAGCAATTCAGACAGCACAGAACAACTGAACATAAAACAAGTGATTACCTGGATAGGGAAGCAAGAAAATTAAAAGCTGACACTTGCTACACCTCTAGAGACTTTCATTCACAGGATGAAGGAAAGACCGTGGTACACCGAAAGCCCTTAGGACAAGTTTGCCCTAACACTACCTTGTTTGTGGGAAGATACAGCTATTTCCACTTTCCCACTAGTAAAGCAAAGAAATAACAAAGAAGTGGTAACATTTGTCTCCAAAAGTAGTTGCATTTCCAATGTCAACAGTCCAATACAGTCAACTTCTTAGCAACCTACATCATATCCTACTGCTTCTCTCTAATCACAAAGTACACAGTAACCTTTTGTCACAGTCTTTTATCACAAAGATCATGGAAGAGTACCTCAGACACACCATCTCCTTGATGTTCTCTGCCTTCAAAATGGCAAACTGATTTTGAAATCGAGTCTCTTATTCCCAGACCCTAGTAGACAATCCTCTATGATTTACATCTACTTGAAAATAATCACAACAGTCAAACCTGAGCCTGGATTGAGACAGGACTAAAGCTCTGTTTTTCAAGACATGCGAAGAGATCACGACCTTATCTTAAAATTCCAAGTCTCAAGCTCTTCTAAGTAGAGGAGAGGACCACATCTAATTAAGGCAAAGTGTCATTATCATTAATTACTGAAACAACCTGGCTATGTCTGTTCTAATCTCATTGGAATACCTTGTTGGTATCATACAGAACATTGACAGGACTTATCTAATGCTGTTAAGTAACAGTCTACACTGTACAGCTCAGTTTCTCTGAAATGTATGAAAACTTTTGCTGTTTCAAAACTACTATCCTAAGCCTTTATTTACAGATTGCTTTGGCTTCAGTTTCATGTTTGGAGGATTATTGTTATTTTTCTGCACTCCACATATTAACCATTACTATTTTCCAATCTATCAGCCAGGTTCCTCTCCACTGAATATCACTACCAATCTTCATTTTACTAAAGTAGTCCTCTTTTAAGACCCACCAAAATTGAAACAGGCAATTAAGCAATCAAGCTAAAGAAATAACCCCACAGTAGTGCCCTGGAGACATTTGGAAAGTAGAAAAAAGAGAAGCAGCCCTGCAGACACCAAGGTCAGAGAAGAAAGAGGAGGTGTTCCAGGTGCCGGAGCAGAGACTACCCTGCAGCCATGGAGAAGACCATGGTGGAACAGGCTGTCCCCCTGCAGCCCATGGAAGACCACGCCAGAGCAGATATCCACACTGCATCCCGTGGAGGACCCTGCACTACAGCAGGTGGACATGCCCTGAGGGAGGCTGCAGACCCTGGAGAGCCCACACAGGAGCTGGCTCCTGGCAGGAGTTGTGGCCCATGGAGAGGAACCCATGCTGCAGCAGGTTTATCCTGAAGGACTGCAGCCCATGGGAAGGACCCATGCTGGAGCAGTTCGTGAAGGACACTGGAGCAGGGGAGAAGTGTGAGGAGGAAGGAGCAGCAGAGAGAAACTGCTATGAACTGACTGCAGCCCCCATTCCCCATCTCCCTGCACTGCTTGGGGCAAGGAGGACATAGAAGAGTCGGGAATGAAGGAGTCAAATTGAGCCTGGGAAGAAACAGGGGAGGGATGGTTTTAGTTTTGTCTTTATTGTCATTTAAAAATAGAGTAAGAAGGTGAGAAACAAATTCAATTAACCTTCTCCAGGTCAAGCCTCTTTTGCCCGTGACAGTAATAGGTAAGCAATCTTCCTGTCTTTATCTCAACCCATGAGCTTTTTCATCTTATTTTCCCTCCTTGACCTGTTGAGGAGAGGGAGTGAGAGAGCAGCTGGGTGGGCATCTGATACCTAGTCAAGGCCAAACCCACCACAACCGTGTATTTGTGACCAAAACCCAAACAGTTAATATTACAACCATTTAACAGTAAGAGCAGAGACATTGTATTCCTATGAGTCTCGCTCAGACATCTTTACTTCGAGCACTAATTTCTATCCTTTGGGTGGCAATTGTTTCCTATTCCCTATATTTATTTCTAGCAACATAACATAAAACTGCTCAAATACCATGCACTATTCTCCTACTTACATGTACTTCCAATGGAAACCACTTCCTGATAATTTTTTTATTAATTCAGTCTCAAACACGGTAGATGTTAACATAAAGAATTAACACCTATATTGTGCCAGCTCATATTTGCTGTTTTTTCATTGAATGTATCAATTGAATAGATTATATTGATATATTATTGTATCAGTGTTGAAACAAAAGAAGGAATCTTCTCCAAAATAAAGCAGGTCATTAACATCCATGTTCGAAGACACATTCTTCCTACTTGGTTATTATTCATCCTTATAGCAGCCCCCTGGTGTTGCTATAGAAGCATAGAATCATTAAGGTTGGAAGAGACCTCTATGATCATCGAGTCCAACCGTCAACCCAACACCACCATTCTCACTAAACCACGTCCCTAAGTGCCACATCTACACGTCTTTTAAATACTTCCAGGGATGGTGACTCAACCACTTCCCTGGGCAGCCTGTTCCAATGTTTAACCACTCTTTCAGTAAAGACATTTTTCCTCATGTCCAACCTAAACCTCCCCTGGAGCAACTTGAGGCCATTTCTTCTCATCCTATCACTAGTTACTTGGGAGAAGAGACGGACACCCACCTCGCTACAACCTCCTTTCAGGTAGTTGTAGAGAGCAATGAGGTCTCCCCTCAGCCTCCTTTTCTCCAGGCTAAACAA